TCTATTCCAATCCGTATTTCCCTCAATCTCCTTATACCCATCTCATTCGTTTCCCATAAAAGCTGAACTACTATATGCCAGTAAACGTATGAAAAATCCTTTACAGATTCACGAGGAAACCGGGTTTACTAGACATTTGGTTTTACAAAAGATTGCTGACAATCGCATATGCGGTGCATGTAAGCAACATGAACAATGGAAAAAATTACAGTTAAAATCAAAAAGTGACAGTTGAACTTGTAGGGACGCTTCGTGAGGTAAGAATGCTTAGAGAATTCGACCGTCACGACATACTGAACTGAGGAATCGAATCAACGAGTAACCTACCTGAAGATTTTGTGTAAATAGATGTCAGAACAAAGTGAATAGGAAAATGCTTCTAAGATCTACAAGGGATACGAAGATGTGGAGAGCCATGATCACCCACGTCCTGAAGTGACACGGCATATGCAAGAATATATAACTTTCAGAGTAGGCATTTTTTCAGTAACCTTTATGAAAGTTAATGTTTTGAGTCATTTGTTTATATTCTTTAGTAAAAGTGTGTATATATGTTCATCTATCGAGTTACATGTTTCCTATCAAAAAGGGAGTACACAGAACAAAATTATTTGATAGAAAATCATTTTTTAAATTAATTTCAAATATTAATTACAATATTTGATTAAGGATGAGATTGATTTCTTTAGGAATTATAACGCTAATTAATTATTTGCGCCAAAGAAAGATTTTTTTTTTTGTAATGGAAGCATTGAGGAAAGAAATCTAATCGCAGTTACAAGATAATTATTTTTAACACGGAGAGCGAAGTGACATATTCCTTCAATTAAAAAAAACGAAACATACAGACATCTCCACCGAAAACAAGGCAAAACTAAGCAAAAGACAAGGCGGCATTATTTCATCACTGTCGATAAAATTCAAAACCTGTTTACGTGATCTTGTAGAGGAAGATATACGAGATCAGATGGAAAGGTATCGGGGCAAATAGTACAAAATGAAAACTACGACACATAGCAATCCAATATTTAATTTCCTTCGAAGTAGTCGCCTTCTGAAACACACACTTCATCCACCATCACTTCTATTAATGGTAGCATTCATGAAAGTCATTTTTAGGGGAATAGCGTGCAGCTGCCTTGCCACATTCTTCTGAATTTCCTCGACATTTTGTTTCTTTCAAGTGAGATTTGGAAAGAGAGGAAAAATCGCTGTTGGCCAAATCTGGAGAATATGGTGGTTGTCGTAGGTGGATAATGTTATGCTTGGCCAACAACTGCTGCACAATATGTGGTCACTGATGGAAACTCTGTGTTATTGTTAGACGACCACACTCTGCACACTTCCCTTCCAAGCACTTCTATAAACAACGGAAGTCATCAAGAAGGTTATAACTTACTTTGAATGCGCAACATTTCTCAAGGTTAATCTGTACCAAACGACTTCACTCTGCGTACTTTAGCTCCGTTACCATATGTTGCGGCCTGTTAGGAGCCAGAAAGAAAGACACGAAAAGAAGAAGGTATGTTGAACTAGTGTATTGAAATAACAGAACATATATACAAAATAAGAGTGTTATTAGTCAGCAGAGAGAAGTGTCCGTCCGAACTATCAGGTTACACAGCGTCCCGACTGCCTCTGCCTTAGGAAGTCTCGCAGGTTAGTATTTATGAAGGAGAAAGAGTTCACTCTAATATAGATAGGTCACCATAACACCATAGCAACAGTCTTGATACTTTTTGATCAGACCTCGTATTAGCCATTCTACCCCCTCCTTCCTACAGATGCAACGCCACAAGCCTATCCCTATTCTCTCGCTATTTTCATGGCAAATATCCTGATGTGATCCATCTTGTTCAATACCTTTCTTGCCCCATGAACAATTTTCACCATAAATCAGAATATCGTTCCTGATCTTTCCGAGTTTGTTCGATTCTAGAGGTGCTTTACAAATAACATGCATATATTATATAAAATTTTAATTCTTTTTTCTTATTAGTGCATACACGCTAACATGAATTATTTTTATAGACGTGTTTTAAAAGATGTGATAGAATTATGTTGATGGATTTTTTAAAAATCGAATACATGTACAGTAAGTTGTTTTCATTCATAACTAATTATTAAATGAATAAACTGAAGCATACTTCAATAAAAAAAACATTGAACAGAATAAATACCAGGTTTTTGTAATTCAGTAAACAAAAAGACCAATAAGATTTAAGAATAATCAAACAGATTTTATTCTGATGAATATGAAAGAAAATTGTGAAATATAAAAGATTACCATACCCCGAAACTCTGAATTCTTCTCCACCTTGATGTGAATTTGCTCCTGGTTAAGAAATATTGGTTTATTCCCAAGCTTTGAACGTTTGTTGGGTCTTAAAGTCACTCCAAAATTCTTCAATCCAAAGATGCTTGAAGAATGGTCGTTTCATTTTATTGTTCCAGGAAGTACTTGGTATTCTGACATGCTTTTTCTTTACAAGAGTCAGATTATTCCAAAATGGATCACCGCTAGCATATCTTCTTAATCCTCATTTTCGAGCGTTGACAAAAAATTAAAAATGCTATACGTGGCCTAGGAGAGGAAGACATATTCACCATTTGGCATGATCTTTCCCATAGAGGCTATCTTACAAGCTTATCACTACTCTATCCCTCTTTCAATAAAACTATTAGGCTGAGCTCCATTCTCTAGTTCCACCACTTCAGACCTTTACAACTGGGGCACGTCTTGTTATTTACACGGCATTGGGTCACCATCATTTCCTTCATAGTTCAAAAGTTAGGTTGTTCATTTCAAATCTGTAAGAAATGACTGCAAGAGCTTTCCCCTCCCCTTTTAAAGACAAAAATCCACAAAATAAATGATGGGATACTTTTCTTAGTCAATATAATAGGTTGATTTAAAATTTGACTTTAGTCTAGCTCTACCTTGTCTATACGGAAGACCACTGGTTTCACTTGTCTGACCTAGCTTTTCTGTGTAGACGCTAATTCGTAGCTCGTAAACCTCTTCGTTTTCTTACCTGTGAATTTGCCTTTCTTATATTGTTTGCTTGCTTTATTGATTCCATTTAAATTTTGCCGCTCTTTCTTTCTATTGCAAATATTATTAATTCTGTTCGCTGAAGAGTTGTGTTATTTATTTTGCATTTGAACACTGACTTCTGTTTAGCAAGTTATGAGGCCCAGGAATAGACTCTGTTTGAAATATACATGTTCTTTTCTGAACAATTATTCTGGTGTAATTTGTGGAAAATACAGCGGCAAGCGACGGCACATCTGTGAGAGACCGAATGCAAACGAGATATCTAGGTCAGGGCCAATCACACTGCATATCCGTCTCTGGATTTTGTTGGAGACCTTAAAACGAACAGACCATATGTGGCAGTAGTATTCCATGCAAGGGCGATTGGTTGATTTATAGATTTGAAGGATGGATTCAGGCGAGAAAATCTTTCTGGCGCGACACAGAGAACCAACTTTCCTTACGGCAGACAGCATCGACAGTGTGAGACCAATTATTTACTGAAACAAAAATGCGATACAGTTCTTGTCATACAGAAATATTTTTGACATTGCTCTGTAGGTTTATATAGTGATTTTCCAAGCATAGTTTAGATGTGACACACGGCCAAAATTAGGGGGCGCCCAGCGAGAATCGAACTCACTACTCAGTCGTTATTGTTTTAGCGAAACAAGCTTGCTAACCTCGGGGTGCCCCTGTGTAGGTTTATATAAATACCCAAGTAGAGATAATGGTACTATTTAAAAGGAAAAGCCTAAAATAATTTCCCAATATGAAATCAGCACTGAACTCATTTCGTAAAAATGTGGAACATGTTTAAGATAAGGAACATTTATTTATGTTTTCTGTTGAAATAGATAAGAAAATTTCTAATTCGTGAAATTTCCTCTCAGAGTGCTTTCTCTGAAGAACTACGACTTAGAGTATAATTGATTCCCGCGTGAAATATCTCCCCACCCTTTGACTGTTACGATGTAAGTCACTTCAGGTCAAATGGCAATCCATATATATCCTCCTTATCGTCCTATTTTTCATTTCTTACCAATTTGCCTTACATCTATATCATGCTTTATTTAACATAATCAGTTTAACAGTAACCCCCTACGCTTAGAAGCTCCTGATTCTTTTATTTTTTAAGCATTTCACCCCAAGCAAGGCGGGAGTGCCACTAGCACGCAAGGGGTTACAGAGAGTGTGAGAAAGTTTAAAGAGGCGTGATAAGATGAAGAGAAAGACGGGGAATAGATCAAAGCATCTGGAGACGTTGATCGACATTGTATTTGAATATTTGGAGATTATAGCTGTCGAGTAAGCAAGTAAGAGGAAGGGAGATCCACTGACGGGAAGTGCGAGACATATGAAGCTATTGAAGTAAAAGAGACGGCGACTTTTACCAGTTTCGACAGTGAAAGAGTGAGACTGAGATGTCAAACTAGTAGCACGTTTAAATTGACCCAGTTTGGGAACCAGCTCGTCGGAGCAGTTACCGTGAAAGTATTTGTAGAAAAGACAACGGCAAGCGACGGCACGTCTGTGAGAGAGCGAATGCAAACGAGATGCCAGATCAGGGCCAATCATACTGCATATCCGTCTCTGGATTTCGTCAAGGACCTTAAAACGAACGGCGGGGGAACCAAACCATATATGGCAGTAGTATTCCATGCAAGGGTCAATGGTTGATTTTTAGATTTGAAAAATGAACTCGGGCAAGAAAAACTTTCTGGGGCGACACAGAGAACCAACTTTCTGATGTGGACCCAAAGTTGGGACCACGGAAGGAAAACACGGCACACGGATTAGATGTAAGAAAGATATATTAAATAAAAAGGTTACAAAGATAGTGTAAGTGTAAGCGGAGCTTACTATGTGCTAGTGTCCAATATTGGTAGTCGTACGCGGCTGATACTACGGAATTAGAATACTCTCACTCCTCCTCCTCTTCTTCTTCTCTCTCTAGAGTGTT